CTCGTGGATTCATCGCTGCTTGGCTGTGCCTGGAAATTCAGGGCAGCTGGAAACTTGATGGTGACCTCTGATAAGCAAAAAAATGGTGAGGGTTTTAATGAATGACTTGAATAAGAAAATAAATAAGCCACTCTGTGCGGTATTCTTCCTGATATTTGTTTTGCTGTTAAGTTCATTTAATGTAGTTCTCATTGTGTTGTGATGATTGTGTTGTCAGCACATCACGACGCATGAACACTGCTGCCAGTTTGGCTGTCAGGGAAGGGGATACATTGCCTGAGACACACAAGGCAGAACAGGCAGGTGACTGCAATATGAAGGAATTTAGAAGCCTTTGGTGAGGAAACGTCACCAAAAGACAGAAAGGGTCTCCCTGAGCATCTTTGTTCTCCTCTGTCAAACTGGCCACAGGACCTAAATGAGTTCCTTTCTTCACCATTTTTTCTCTTTCAGGAGAAAAATCTAGTCTTGGTTTACATCTAGAAAATGGGCTGGGGAAAGGAGGCTCTAACCACAAATTTGGGGAAAGTTGCACTCATCATTATTACTTTCCTTGCTAAATTGCTCAGTCTGTTCCTAGCCTTGGTTTATTAATTTGCAGTTTTTATTCCCTGGCTTTTGTATCTTTGCCGAGAGGTTTAGGAACATTAAAAATGAAATGTTGATTTCCTATGTGAGTATTTATAGACTTTGAGGCACATGTTAATCTTCTTCTGGGTAAAACCAGACTAAGCTCCATGTTTGTTTCACTATAAGGCACATTTTCAAGGCCTTAGTCATTCTGTTTTTCCAGTTCCATGTCCTCCTTCTTGGTTGTAACACCAAGACTACGTTCATGCTCTTAGTAGTAGTTGTTGCCCAGAACTACTGGCCACCAGCTATGCCCTGAAGTGCTGTTCAGCAGAGGGCAAAGGGAACCCATCTAGGCTGGTTTCCATCTGAAAACTGGACCTGCACAGAATGGATAAGGAGACTGCGGTGGTCACTGGTCACCAGGCGAGCCTGCACTTGCCACTGGAAGCTGTCCCAAACCCTGTCAAAGGCAAATGAACGATTTTCCAGCTTTTAGAACAAAAAAGGCCTTATAAAAGCTTTCTTTCTTCATTCACAACATTGCAAAGGATGCCAGCCTTGGGGTTTTAGCCCTTTCTAGTTCCTGGTGCCTTCAGTGTTTTCCAGGGAAGGTAGAGCAAATTAACCAGTCACAGTACAGCCACCTTCCTTGGTTATCTTGTAAAGGCTACTTAAATATAGTTTCCACAAGGATCCCCAAGTCAGAAGCTGGAAGCTGAGAGCTAAAATACACTGAGGCAACACAAAAGGCCCCATGATGATATTTTTTTCTTAGAGCATATTCAGTGCTTGGGTGAGATCATCCCTGTAAGTCTTCCGAAGTCTCTGCAGCTCATTTCAGATCCCTGCAGTTCATCCAGACAGGCTGTAACTCTATGGCCCATGCACTAGGAGAGAATTGGAGTAATCCCTGAATAACCTTGACTAATGCCATAATTTTTGAAAGGCAGCATTTGGAAGCTCTTCAATACAGTATAATGTTCAACCTTGATCCTTTATTTTGGGTTTCACGAACACAAAATTGCTCACCTGACGTAGAAGATCCTGATGGACTTTTCAGAAGTTATTCAGATGCTTGTGATGAAATTCATAAAGGTATAGAGATGCTTTGTTTCCTTTGAATTTGGTGGGAGTTAAATGCTTAAACTACTTTCACCAATCTCAGCTTTTACTTAGCCATCTCTGCATTGTTATAATGCTCCCATGCTCACATCCCTTTAGCCCGTTGGCCAATGGAAACACCTTTTTTTCCAGAGGAAAAAGGGAACAGAATATGTATCTGTATCTCAGTCATTTCAATGCAAAGTCTACTTGATTGGTGAGAATCTCTTCTAAACGTCATGACCCTTCAGCAAAGAAAGCAGATGAAGGGCATATAGGTTTTCCACTCAGTGCTTAGCTAAAGGGATTGTAATGACCAGTGAAACTGCAGAATGATTTTGGGGCAATAACTTCTTCAACTGAAAGTGCAGATATTAATGCTTAATTTTTTTGTGTGGTTTAATTTTTTTTATCGGTTGGGTTTTGGTTGGTTTTTGTTTGGCTGGGTTTTTAATCAAAAGGACTTACATACTTAAAACATTGTTTCTCTTTATGCCAGCTTGAACTCACTGGCACAGTACTTCTGTGCCCAGGCACAAACGTCCGCAGGAAAAAATACCTATTTTTAAAATACTTTTCACACAAAAAGTATCCCGAGATCCCTTTGTAGCATTACCTCGAGTAGAAAAATCCAACATGAAAAATATTCAATCCCTTTTAGTCGTGAGTTAAGAATTTTACCGTGGACAACAGAAAAACAGCGATGAAGAGCTATCAGCACAGCAGAGGGAATCAAATGGCTTTTGTCTGGGAGAGAGCAGGTGAGCAAAGGGAGGCTTGGATGAGACAGCTGCAGTGGGGAAGACTTCTTCACTGAAGGGCTGTATTAGAGAAGGAGGAAGAACAGACAATGGGTGTTCAGTGGAGCCCCAGAGAGGAGCAAAAGAGGCCTTGGTCTGTGTGATGTGGTTGATTTTGGAGACCAGGATAGGGTATCTGATGCTGTGATACAAACTTCCATGTTGGGGGAAGAACAGAAGTTAGACCAGAAGAGGTCTGAGATTTCTTTCAGAACACACAGACAACAAAGAAAGATATCTTTCTTTTCAGCAACAGGTCAGAGAGAAAACAAATGGGATTAAAGTCATTTTCACTTCAACATACTTACTTTCTAGAAAGATAGTAAAATATTGATGTGCCAGACTTGATGGGATCCTTTGTTTCGTATGGCGTGGTCATTTACTCTTACATCAAACTTCGTCTTTCTCCAGTTGGTGCAGCAAACTACACAAACTGTAGTTTTGTAGTTCCACCAATGTGGAAGGATATTTACTGTTTAGAGAAGTCCTTGGACGCCTCAGCAAACTTTGTCTTGTTTCTCTGTCCAAGAGCTATATTTAGACTTTGCTCAATCAAGGTCTGAGCAGCTGCTGCTCAGATGTTGTGTGAGCACAGCTAAATATTTTTGAGAGCATAAAAAAGCAGTAAGATAACTGCAGCCATTTTGTTTTGAAGGAGTCAAGTGTTTGTCTAGCTGTGTAGTCACAGAGGAAAGAGAAACTACCTTAAAGGCACATTTATTCGTGCTATTTCTCAGTCTGAAACTAACAAAGACAAGCAGATCTAAATAATGTGTCTTAAAAACCTTAAGACTCATAGCACCTCTGTGAAGCTACTTAGCTGCCCTTGAAATTACCTTGCTCTTCACCTCATGACAGATCAGCACAGGAACTGCCAGTGCCTAGTTGTATTGCATCTGACTCTCTCAGGCTCGACCTAATACGTAGCACCTATACGTGCTATGACAATATCAATACTCTGTAATTATTGCAGGATAATAAAAATTTCATCTGTCAGTGAAATGCTGCTATCTTGGCTGTAAAATATGGCAGCGCACAATAATCTATGCCAACAGTTACCCTGAGTAAACTGCCTTTATTCCCTGAAATTTGACCAGGAAGCTTGTGGGTGGGAAGCCTTCTCCTGCAAAACTGACTGGAACATTTTTAATGAGTAATCAAGGGTGTTTCCATTCCTGCTGGTGGACAGACAAGAGGACATGACCAAATGGGGAACCCCCTCTACCATTTTGTTCCCCCTCCCTGAAGTATGAAACATAAGAAGGATTGATGGGACAGGAAGATTTCCTGAGAGCTGGGGGTGGGAAAATGATGGCTATCAATAGCCTTGTGGAGAGGATCAGGATCTGCAATTTGAAGAGGTAAAGAAACAGATTTCTCTTACTGAGTAGGGCGGGTGAGTTAGGAAAGACATAAGGGCTTTGGAGGGTTAGTGTTGAGGTTTAGTCTCTGACGCTGTCTTCTTGTTCCTGCATGTCCTCCAGCAAATTACTTTGCATCTCATTCTCCTCCATGAAAATATCCCCTGACATGCTGAGAAAACTGGGGCTGCTCGGCCTGGAGAAGTCTGCATGGAGACCTCATAGCAGCCTTCGAGTGTCTGAAAGAGGCCTACAAGGATGCTGGAGAGGGACTCTTCATTAGGGACTGTAGTAAAATGACAAGTGGTGATGTGTTAAAACTTAAACAGGGGAAATTTAGATTGGATAAAAGGAGGAAGTTCTTTGCTGTAAGGGTGGTGAGGCACTGGAATGGGTTGCCCAAGGAAGTTGTGAATGCTCCATCCCTGGTGGTGTTCAAGGCCAGGCTGGACAGGGTCTTGAGCAACCTGGTCTAGTGGAAGGTGTCCCTGCCCATGGTAAGGAGGTTGGAACTAGATGATCTTAAGGTCTTTGCTAACCCACATCAATGAATGATTCTGTGATTCTGTGATGACATAAAGTTCATATTAACATGAAGCACAGGTGGTGTAAGAGACACACAGCATGGAGCTAACACAATCAACTGTCCTTCACTTAAAAAAAACCCAGAGACTTTAAAGGAACCCGAGCAGTGCTTTTACGGTTGGCCTCTGATGTCAGCTGGAGTTTCCAGGGCACCCCGCCGGTTCGACACGAATAGGTTCGCTTTTAAAAAACATGGACAATTTGGAGGACAGATCGGAACTCCCATCGGAGCTGGGGTTTCCCCATGCCCCCGGGCCCCGCTGACGCCTCGCTGCCCGCAGCGGGGGTGCACGCTGCCTACTGCAGGGCTTGCCGCCTATCTGGCTGCCACACCGTCCCGTCAAACACCGTTCCCGGGGCGACAACACCTCCCGCCGCCTCCGCCCATCCCTCCGCCCCGGACCACCCCTACCCGCTCCGACCCGTTCGTGCGCGCGGACCAAGCGTGCCGGTAGGGCGGGACGAGGCGGAAGAGGGGAGGGCTCGACCTGCTCTGGCGCCCCGGCCCGGCCAACCCGCGGCTGCCGGGTCTGAGCCATAAAAGCGCAGGGAGCTGCTGGGACCGTGGCTCCAGCTGGCCGCAGCCGTGCTTGGGGTGCTTCGGGTGGGCAGCCCGGCTGGCTCCCTTCTGCCGCCCGGCCGCAGCGACCGCGCCGGCACTGGGCCCCCCTTTCTCACCCCGCCTCGCCCGCCGCCCCCAAGATGCTGTTTTGGCACACGCAGCCGGAACACTACAACCAGCACTCGACCGGCAGCTACCTGCGGTGAGTTCCCGCCGGCGCCGGGCTGCGTGAACCCCCGAGCGGTTAAGGGGATTAAGGCGGGCACGGGGGTTAAGGGGAGGGTGTCTGCTGGCTCCGAGGCATCCTGCTCGTCGGGCTGCCCGGGCGGTACCTGTTGGCGGTACCCGGCGTCCAGCGGAGCAGCCGCATCGCCCGGGGTGAGCGTTCCTGACTCGTTCTGAGAAGTGCGCGCGCTCTTCTATTTTTTCCCCTTCTTTTTCTGTTAGTTATTTTTTTCTTTCTTGCACCTCGTTAGACAACTCTCTGCAGCTTTGCTTTTCTGCTTTTGCCGGCTTCCTTCTGCGCAAGGGCTTAGGTAGTGCAGCTCGCAGGGAGAAGGTGCGCTAGTTGCAAAGTGCTGTCAAAAGCCTGTGGAGAGTGTCGGCCAACTAAGAGAACATCCAGTTTTGTGAGGATGGGATTTCTTTCTCTTCTTTTTGGGACGATGGGTAAAAAGCTCAAAATTTCACTTTCTGAGCTTGTCTAAACCAGCTTTTTCCTGCCTCCACACATTTGTGTTTAATTAAATGTGCCTAATTCAAGCACAGGGGCTGCTGAACAATAGTCTGTAACGTGTAGCACAAGCCTGTATTTCCTCCCTCCAAAAGATGTCAAAGCAGGCAACTTTGGGAGCTTCCTTTCTGCTGGATGCTTATGTTTTTTTTCTGAGAACATGTAAAGCTGAGCTCTCAGCTGGTGTAAGTTGCTGCTGTTGCTCTGCTGATGTGTGAATTTGCTGAATTGCAGCAGTGGAGGACTAAAGGCTAAAGAACCTTCCTTTCAAAGTGTACCCCGAAATAACTGCTGTTGAGAGAACATTGAGTTTGTCGGCAGAGCACTTGGAACACAGATAATGCTTCAGTTTCAAGGAGACACACAATCCTAACTATTAGCTATCAGTGTATTTGAAAAAGATTTATTTATTTTACTAAATAATAATAATGCCATGAGATTCTTCCTTTTTGGCAGCTTCTCCGCTTCTTTGTACAAGGTTTTTCAGCTCCTCACTCTATCCCAGTGTCTGTCTTAACAGCATGTATGTGGCAAAAGTCTTATTCTCTCTTGCTTTGGATTTGCAAATCTGACTAGTTTGGGACAGTGGGAAGAGTAGTAGCAGAGGAGCATCAGCATTGGTAGTTGTGTGCACTGTGTCTGCATTAGAGAGCATTTATGGTGCTCAGACTGCTTGATTTAACTCCATGGATTTGTAGTACGATTGCTACAGGGTCAAGTCTGTGTCAGGCTTGAGCCCACAACTCAAATTCCTTTGAATTGGCCAGAAAACGTTGGATTATTTTTGCCTGTTTGGTGCTAGCTGGAGGCGATAGAGGAGACCTGCTCTGGCAGGAAGGCTGCTAGTATGAAGGTAACCTGTTGATGTTTTAGGAACAAACTTCAGCTTTAGTGAGTACCTGCCTCTGTGACAGTGGTGGTTTTGAGCTGGGAGTGGAAGCTCTAAAACCAGTTCTATGGCAGGAATGGCCTCAGGTGTTTCAGGGAAGGTCAGTTGAATAAAACCTTTGGGTTTTGTAATTCTGGCTACTTTACTCTCCATGGGAATGTGTGAAGGCATGCATTTCTCGAGGGGTGTTTTTCTTCCGAGCTTTACCTTTCTGAAGATTTTCCATACCTGTAATGACTTTGCACAGGAAGCTGAAACAGTACAAACCTTGAAGTAGATGTAGGAAAAGTTTGTATCAATTATACCTTGTAGACATCAGAGGTGTTGTGCACATCTAGACATCCATGTAAATTCTGCCACACCTCAGTGGTATTTGTAGTTATAGCAAGACAATTACTACAGAAAAGTCCTTGTAAATATTCATTTGTTTTTGTGGAAACCCAGTATGTATTTTGCTCTCAGTTCTGCCAGCTGACTGAACTCTTAAATAACTTTCTCCTTTCCATGTAAGTGGGCTAACAGTTGGCTAAGACCAAAGCTGTAAAGCTTTAGCATAAAGATGAAACTTGGGAGAGTCTTAAGGGTGTTTCATCCCCTTGCCCCCTATCCCCCTTTTTTAAGGATAGGAGCTGTTGTAAAAGCCTGCTTTTTCAGAAACTTGATTTGCAACTCTGGACTGAAGAGAGTTGAACAAATATTTTGATGGCTTGTATAACTACAGCTTTCGCATTCTTCTAAGCCTTGATCTGTTGCTCACATCCTTCTAAGATCTGAGTGCTTTTAATAAGGTGAAATGTTTTAGAAGGGTTTGATCCAAGGCTATGAATACCACTGGCCATTAGTTCATTAGTTCAGGAATAAAAATTAACTTGTGTGGCTTAGTCAGTGCTTTAATATGGTGAAACTTTCTGGAAACCAAATCGTGGATTCCTCCATGCTTACAGTCCTTGACAATAGCACAGCTGTTCCAGCAAGTGTAAGGGCGTTAAGAGTATTGAGTGAAATATGATATTTGGTACTTGGATTTAGACTTCACCTTGCCTAAATCTCATAACTGCTTCAGCTGAATAGGTGTACAAATATCTCAACCTTAACTGTTAAACCTGAGCCAGATTGTGTGCTGGTTTCTGCAGATCTGCAGAAGCTTTCAGGCTTCAGTGGTTTTGACCTAATGGAAAGCAGCACTCATTCTGATAGCACTGTGCAGACAAGCGTGTTAAGAGCAAATGTTGGCATCTGGGGTGAGTGGTTCTCCTCTGGAGAGGTATTGGATCCTGCATGTGTGTAGAGCAATGCGATCTGTTTCAGAGATCTGTTGTAGGCATTTCTGTCACTTCATTACTGTAGTAAATCATCACCACTAAGGAAAAAAAACCCTCTCTGTGGCTGCAGTTAGTCAAGATCTGTGATTAGGTCAGTATTGTCAGTAAGCAAATGGGGCTGGATGCTTTTGAGTTGGTGATAATACGGAAGGGTTGTAAGAGAAAATGCAGAGATGTTTCTTTTCTCCTATCTGTATCTGAAATGGTGCAGTTTGCTCTCTGCTTTTATTTTGCCATAAATAGGAGTACCTGTGTTTGAATCAGGCACTTCAGCAGTTTGCTGTAAACTGCTGCACCTTTTCACTCATGACCTGGGTAGCCTTCAAGGTTGTGGGTGCTACGAATGAACACAGGGTGGATCATTAACTGAACAGGCTAGGGGAAAATTCTAAATGTTCTTTCCATAGGGAGCATGTCTGTACATGCCAGCATGGTCCTGAAGCTTTTTGTGTATGGGTTTACTGAAAGGAGCAGAACTGGAGCCTCTGTAATGGGAGTCTCAAGTCTTCACACATCTAGAGGAAATGGAGGAGGAAAAAAAGAGTTGCTTCTTATTTTGAACTGTCTCTGTGCTCAGCATAATCCTCCTAATTTGGAAGGGTATTAATGTCCTAAGTAGGTGGACACAATGACCAGAAATGTGGACATGGGAAAGGCTAATGTGGTCTGTCAGTATCAGACATGCTGAGATAAGGATGCTTATTCCTGGCATCTCATTTTGTACTAATCATTCTGTTGTGCTCTCAGCCTTGCTAATACCTGTTCTGCTTGGGGATTAGTGTGGGTTGGCATCAGTCTGACGCTGAATCAAAAGGCAGGTCAGCATGAACATCTTATAAAGGAGTGAGAACATGGACTGTGTTCAGGTCCTAGTGAAGCTGCTCCTGAGCACCTGTGTGCATGCGCATTTATGAAGGTAGCCCGATGCTAACTTAAGAGCTATGTGAGATCTTGGGACCAGGTTTATTAGAGTGCAAAGAGATGTTATGAGTCAATTAACCCAGCAGTTCATGTCATCATTTACCTGAATGTCTCCTTTCTACATCAGAGCTGTGTCTGCTTCTCATATTGGCTGCTACTTGTAGGCATTTTATTAATCTGACACTTGGCTGTCATGATAAAGAGCCCTTTATTTTCCTGAAGGTGTTTCATCTGGGAACCCAAGAACTCTTAAACAAATGTAATTCCACAAGGATGAATAATCTATTTTTGATACATTTTTTCCTCATCAGGAAGACTGCTTTATTGAAAAATAGATCCAATTTATGTTTAGCAAACATAAATTAATTCTCAGAAATATTCTATTTTGCTAATGCTGTGTTCTTTTGTGTCCAGTGCTGACACCCGAGAGGCAGAAGTTTCCTTATTACATTATACAGGCTGAATTCTTTCTTGCTTAGCTATCATAAGTTGCTGTTTCTCCAGAGGCCATTTCTGTTATCTCAGAGCATGAGAATCAAGCACAGGTTGAGGCTAGGATTCTGTCAAGTTTCTCTGAGTGAATGTGTGTGAATTCTGTGTTGCAGAGATGTCCTTGCACTGCCGATCTTCAAGCAGGAAGAACCTCAGCTGTCTCCTGAGAATGATGCCAAATTGCCACCCTTTCAGTATGTCCTCTGCACAGCCACATCACCTGCTGTGAAACTGCACGAAGAAACCCTGACCTATCTCAACCAAGGTGGGGTTTGCACTACACTGAAGGAGGGTATATTTGCCGGGAACAGTTAATGAGACAGATTTAATCTCATACTTGTGCCTTACCTGGGGGGTAGTGGGATGGGGAAAAAGAGGGATAGAGATTGGGAGGGGGTTGGAGTAAAGGAGGAATATTTAATTTTTCACATTTATATACTGTTGTAAAATAATCAAGTACCAGTGTTTTAACCATTTACTTAGAGCAGCATTGTACCATGCACAGTTCCCTGTACTGTGCTTGATCTCTGACAACCTAAGCTGCAGCCTCCTACCTTGATCTCAAAAGGTCAATTTAATTAAGCATATTGGCAAACTTTGGGTTGGGGAGGGCTCTTAACATTGCAAGTCCCCAGGCGCTGCTGGAGGGCATTGTCAGAGCATGAGTTAGCAGGTATCCAAGTGCTCCTTGGTGGTCTGGGCAGGGTATGACATTGCTCCCACTGGCTGGGTGATGTGGCAGTGCTCAGTTCCTAACTTGTCAAGTTGCTTGGGTTCAGTGCAGCAAAGTCCTTTATAACTGACCTCATAGGATAATTTTTACTCCTGGATAAACAAGCACTATGTGTTTCCCTTGGCTTCCCCCTCTACCTTTGGCAGAATTTGTGCAGATACATCTGTGGTTGGTATTTAACTGTCATTTTGCAGCGCCTCCTGTGTGTGCATCCTGGGAGAAATACGACCTCTCCAGGCACAGATTATACTAAACCCTAACTACACTTATTTTCTACCAGGTTGTAAACAAAGGCATTAGCCTAGCAACAAGCTGAAGGCTGTCAGCCCTGCTACTGAGACCCTTTCCTGCTTCAGGGCACTGTCCCAGCTCTTTAAGCTTTTTGTGCACTGAGCATGAAGCTTGCTTTGGTGCTTCTCTGACTAGGTTTTCTGTGAATGCTTGTGCAAAGCAGAGCCATGACCTCCTTTGGACTCTAACCTCAGGTGTGTCTGCCTGCTGGATCTGTGTTGCTAGCTGGTAGGAGGCATGGAGCCCCCATGGAAAGATGGCCAACTGCTGCAGGCTCTGCTCAAGGAGCCAGATGTTTCCTGTTGTGTAAGCTGGCACTGCGCTGGCTCTCAGCATCAAAAGATGCTAGAGATGACTGTGTTCTCCCCGTTAATCCGTCCAAATAGCAGACTCCAGGAGGTGATACAGAGCACATCAAGGGTGAAATGGAAATGAAGTTTTTTGTCAAACCCAAATCTGTCCTGTTTCAGAGTAAAAGATTTTCTGTTGTGAAAAGCAGTTGATGGCCAAACATTTTAGCATACATGAGGCAGTGCCTGGTTTTTGGTTGTTTTTTGTTTTTTGTTTTTTTTTAACTTATTTTTGGGGGCAAAAGTTAGACCACTCTTCACACAATACAGTGAGTTAAAAAACAAACAAACAAAAAAACCCCAAACAAATGAACAGAAACTCCAACTATGAAAGTTGTGACTAGAGTAGTCTACACTTTCCTGTGCCAAGTAAGACTGTTGCTGCCTTTGCAGATAGACTGTGTTGTGTTAGGCCTTCTCCAGCTTCAACTGGACACAGTACTGACCTATTTCCTTGCCAGACCACCAGCTGTTGGGTGTCTTCTGCATTTGTCTTTCATCCCTCAAGGGGGAAGGTGGGATGTGTCCTTGCAGAATACACCCTGGAGAGCATGAAGCTGGACAGGCCTGAAGGAACAAAGAAGGGATGAGTCTGGCAGGAGCTGTGCAGTGGGGCAGAGTTGGGAAGGTAGTGGGGGAAGATGTGGGCACTCCGTAGTGCTGTTGGCTTGCCACAGTGGATGGAAACAGCACTTCTTCCTAGGGTCTTTAGAGTGATCAGTGGTAAAAGATGGTGAACTTCTGACAGTTGAATAGCTTGCTACTTTCTGTTCCTCTTGGCAAGAGCTTTGCATCTGCCTGCCATCTTCACAGGAGCATCCTTACCTCATTTAACATCCCAAGAAATATGTCTTCCTCATTACACTAAAATGCTCTGGATTTCTTGGGGGAAAAAAACCCAACCCCAAACCTCCTGAAATTCAAGGCTGTCTGTATATAGATGGATGCTGTTTGGATTTTTTTTGGAGGTTATTTGTTTTGGTTTTGTTTCTCCCCCACCTTGAACTCTTGCCATCTACCTAATTTAAAAGCCATTTTGCTCCACGCAAGCAGGTTGCTTCAGAGTCCACACCATTGGCTGCACTTTTGCTCCCAGCACTGACCCTTTCAGGTAGCAAGGGTAGGCCTTGACTGTAAATTTGTCTGACAGGTAGTCTACTGTGATACTAAGTCCCTTAAACCAAAATCCCTCTCCTGTGCTAGTTAGGAAAAAGGGGCTGGAGTCTACTCCCATGTGGATATGCTGTGGGAAACTTGGGTTCATTAAGGGTGACTGCGGATATGGGGAGAACAGCATGCTGGACATGCCTTTCAACCAGCTGTGGACAGAGCTGGGGAGTCTAATTTCTGTTGGTGGGATTTCAGTGCAGACAGTGTTTGGGGTTAAAAATAGATGAGGATTGGTCTTGCAATTCCAGGACAAAGAATCCATTTGAGTTGACAGGTAATCTCCCATTTCACTTAAAAGTTCCTGTTTAGGAACTTCTACATAAAAGGGTATCTGGTCTTTTTCATGACATTTATGTTAAAAGCAATTCATTGACCTCATGCATTGACCTTCTAGAATAAAAAGTTGTGTCTCTTCAAAAGCAAAAATTAAAGTGCCTGAGTCAAACTTTCTTCTTTCGGCAACACTTGTCTATGGGGACCTCTTTTGATTCTTGGGCGACAGTTTTCCAGCAGGTACCTGTTGTGTAGGTATTTTCCCAATCCTTCTCCAAAACCAGAGGAGGGTGCTGCACCTCTTTACTTTGACCTGCTCAACACATGCCCTGGAATCCCACCCAAGTGCTGTCACACTGATCTCTATTGTTCTGCCTGGGCTAGAGGTCCATGTAGGTTAAAGGCCCTGTCAGAAAATCAATCCCACTAACTGAATTGGATTGTATGAGCCTGGGGGAGGTATGTGAAGGGGACTTCGAGACAGCCCAGGTCTCTGGAGCCAATACTACCAGCAGAAGAGCTGACTGACTCCAGAGCTCTGTGACCCAGCTGTAGTACCATAGCCATCTCATGGAGCAGTTTAGCCCATTCCCTTCACCTTATGCTGACTGCAAGCAAAGGGACAGCTCTTGCACCTTACCCTCTTTCTGCTCTTATCATGGTCTGGCCAAACATTGTTACATAAAACTTCTCTTCTTCCTTGTATGCTTGAGTTTTGTGATGGATTACTTTAGCAAATGGGTAACTTCGTTAATGGATGTCCCTCCACCCTGTCTGCTCTGATAGAGAGCATCAGTCACAGCTGGCTCCTAGTAAGGCACATACAAATGCAGAGTGGCTGTCTCAGCTTCAACAAAGCAGTTCACATCCCATGTGGTTATTTATCCAAATTATGAGGACTGAGTTTGGGGTTTGCTGTTTGCTGTGTGACTGGTGCCACCACTTGCTGTCCAGATGTTCCTTCCTGACTCGAGCTCTTCACCACTTGGTAACTGACCATTTGTCACCATGAAGCGCTCTGCTCCCTGCCCTGAAATGCTCCACAGATGACTGGTTCAGTGGTGGCTGGTGAGTGGACCAGCTCAGGAGATGGTCCATGTGCACAACTAGACGGAAAAAAGGTCAGGTCTGACAGAGCTATGGAGAAGGGAAAGCTGAAAGAACTGGGTAGGCAAGTTTAAGGCCAAGTAGCATAGAAGAACTGGAGGAGACAGTCAGATGATGTCGAAAAGGGTTTCATATGGGCTAGGAAGAAGGGCTGTCCCGTGGTTGTGTTTGTGTACAAATGCGAGAGGGCTTCAGGCTTGTGGAGTGTAATGACTTCTCACGAGCCTTGCTTTTCGCTGGATAGACCCAGAGAGATGGTCAGTGGCATTGAGGAGGAAGAGGCCTTCGGCCTGGGCCCTCCACAAAGGTCAAGGAGGAAGCCGAGAAGACTCCTGAGCTGGAGACCAGAGTTTTCAGCAAGAGCAGGGGGAACATTTCTGAGGGAGCACAGATGAGTGAGCTTAGCTATTGTGTTAAGTTGACTTGGGGACATTCAGCAGTAGCAGGCTCCTCAGCTTGTCTGCTCCAGTTTGAAACCATGAGTGCTTGCTGGCTGCAGCTCTAGAACCAGCCTGTAAATGAAGTAACTAGAGTCAAATCCGTAGCTTGGCTTCCAAAGGTTGACTCATTACACTTGTCTTTCCTGGTCTCTTCTCTGCCATGCATTCCCATGTTCCTTGGGAAACTTGGAGCTGGAGTCCTGCTAGCCCAAATTCAACATGATCTTAGTTTGCTAATCCTTAGAGCAGTTCCTACATTAAGTGATTTTTACTGGATCTCAGCAGGATTATTCATATGATGGGACAATGTATAGACCTATTAGTATGGTGTCCTAGCATCACTCTGCCTTCAGTGCACAGAACTGGTAAAAGGTGCTGTCCTTGCATTAGGAGCTGCTGCTGGCATTGCTGCTCTGGTCAGGGATCACATCTGTCAACAGCTACACTGTCCAGAAGTCTGCTGCACAAACATCGCCTAACGTTTTTGGAGCTAGCCTGCCTTTTAGCGCTATTTCAGTGTCTCCTGTGGATAGGGATTTTCAGACAAACAATCAACCAGCAACCATATTACAAACCACTGCTTTAGCAAGAGGGCTTGATGCAGTTGCATATTCCATGGTGTGCAGTCATATGGGGTGTGGTTTTGACCATGGCTGGTTGAAACTAGTTTCAAATGTGGACAGAAATGGGAGTACTGAAGGTGGTTCCAGAAATTGCACCAGGAGGAATGTGGAGGAAAAAAGCACTGTACAGTAGATCTGCATGCTAATAAATGTGGGAAAATAAAATTATCCTTTTAAAAAACAAATCAAAAAGCCAAAACCCACAAAAACCTGAAAGTCATTGCCCAAGGGAATTGGCTAGTCCACCACATGTGGACTGTGAGCTATTCAACCCATGA